AAAAAGAAAATTTAAATGTAATATAAAAAAGAAATTATTTGGCCAATGATGTGATAGTTATGAAAAAACAGTTATATCTTTTTATAAAATTAATGCAATTTTATTTGATTTGTTTGATTCAACTAAATTTTGTGGTTCCTATAATGTATCTTTCCTTGATAGATTATCCAATTCATAGGAAAAAAAACAAGATAAGATATTTGACTGACCCTTTTTTTTAATATTGTTAGAATAGTGCTTTTTTAAAAAAAATTAAGCATATATCTTAAATGTGGCTCGAGCAGTGGCTCATTGGTTGACAAAAGTCATTCCTCGTGCATTAGTCGCACTCAAATCGCTCCAACGATCTATATATATAAAGAAAAATTGTTTTCTCAATGAGAGGGATCAACATCAAAAAGCAATGATAGGTATTTTGAATTTTCCAAATTAACATGATTTTTATGTTGAAAAGACAATTCAATTAAAAAATTATTATTTTGAGAATAATTATTCTACTTAAAAATTGGTGTATATATTGCAAATGAAGAAATAGAATAAATCATGATAAAAAAGTGTCTTTTATGTTGTGCATAAAATTTTTTACTAAAAAACTGTTTCATAAAGTAGTAAGAAAGCCTTTCCAAATGAAGCATAAATCGCCAATAATTTGCTTAAACATACAATAATTCATTAATTTCTTCTGATACCTTGATCTCAATCTCCATAGTAGCTCACATAAAATTACAATCATACACACAAAATCACTTTAAAAGCTTAATATCATCTCTCTTTTGGCAAATGAATATACCGTCTTCGCTTTGAACGATTTCTACATCAATAAATAATGTCCGTAGGCCGCGGTTTATCATTTCAAATTTATTTATCATAAACCTCTTAAATTTTGCGGCCATTTTAGAGATACTACTTGTGGAGATCAAATCATGAACCAAAATGTATAGTAGTAAAATATAACTAGATTCAAAATATAACAAAAAAAGTATGTCAATGGCTTTATAATCCTGTGAAATAGCAGTTAGCTTGCATGTGTTATTCCTTCTAGTTGCCTTTAATTCATTATTCATAGCATCCATTCATTTAAAATCTTGAAAATTGTTAGTTCATTATCTACAAATATGGCAAAGTGTGCCAAATCTCCATTATTATTAATAGGATTATCAAATGTTACCTCAAAAACTTCTTAAGATAATTGATTGTTTTAGTTGTCTCCTTAGTCTTCTAATTTTTTTGAGGCTTACTCGTATAGGGTTTCCTTGCACCAAAAAGGTACAATTATTAGTATCAATTACTAGTATACTGATAGCATTTAAAGAGCCTAGCATAGTCAGGTTCAAAGATAATTGAGCATGCCATGACGTTGTTAGGATTTCATAGAGACCTTTATGAACCTCTAAAATGTCTTTCAAGCCATGACCAATGGCCCAGTTAGTCCTATACATAAGTAACATTTAATGATTTTTTGATACGGTCCTTGCAGTCCTCTCTATATGCCTTGATTTGGTTTGTCAAAGCAAGTACTCAACCAATATACTCAGTGAAAATTATGATTATTCCATTTGCAAGAGATTATATTGATGTCTCAGATATTGGAATCTCACCTTATCATTAGAATGTCCCTAGTTACTTAAATGATACAATTTACTCAAGAACTTCATCATTCATTTCTTAATAAATTAAATACAAGGCCTTTCAAGCATGCCTCTTGTTCCCATGAGGTTTGCTCTATTGTGCTTAATATGTTTTCCTAATGAGGTCCGTGACTCTAGCCATCACGACATCCGGCATCTCATGATAATCAAATAAAACTCTCATTCGAGTGCTCCATATATTATAATTTTTCTTCCATTCATGATATAATGAAAGTCGGACATAGTAGCTCATGACACCACTCTAATACTGCTATTATATTAGATACGCCACCAATAAATTGTCTTTGTCGAGCATGAATCTCGAGGCAATCCAAGTTGGAAATGTCCGAAATTAAATACAGGACCATATGAACTTCAATTTTATCAAACTTATAGTTGAATTAAAAATCTCATGAATATGAACCCAATGACACTAAAATCGATCCAATTCAAGCCCTAGTCGATCAAAATCGGGGGCCGATGTACATTTGAAAGTTTCATAGCATAAATTGGATTACCAAATGATATCCAAATATAGCATTCTTGCATTTGAATCGGGTGGCTTGATAAGACGAATCCAACAGGCTCATTATGATCAGGGGGATCAACATGATGAGCTGGTCGTTGGATTACTCCCAACATCCCCTTGATTTTTTTCTTATTTACGGGGTATGTCAATCTGAGAAAATTATAAATAGATCTCTCATTCTTCACATGGGCATCGGGCGGGGCGAGAGAGAGAGAGAGAGAGAGAGAGAGAGAGAGAGAGAGAGAGAGAGAGACGATCTCTCTTGCTTTCTCAAGCTTGCACCACAAGCTAGATTTCTTCCAGACCACCAACCGTCATCAAATTTTTGATTATTCATTAGTTTTTGTTGGATTTTTTTCCTAACAACCAAACATTTCTAGACAACCGCCTAATGGTTGATTAATACTGAATCTCTAACTATCATCAAACATTGATGGAACATTCTTTATTAATCAATCTACATTAAGGGGACCTAACTTCTGAAGTTTGAAAAACTAAGGATCTTCCTTGCATTCTCAAGCTTCCACCAAAATTCAGATCTCTTTACGACAACCGACTATCATCAAACTTCCGACTATTTATTGGTTGTTGTTGGATTTTTTTCCCAACAACCAAACATTTCTAGACATCAACCCAACTGTTGATTAATACTAAATCTCAAGTTATCGCCAGACATTAATGGAACATTTTCTATTATTTAATTTACATCAAGGGGGGCAATCTCTTGAAATTTGAAAATCTCTTTAGTATATTTTTTTCTCCCTAAGCTTGAGTTAAGGGATGAGTTGACGTCGTCTGGCTATGACCCCTTTGACCACTGTCGTCTATCGATTATGGTCCCTTTGACCATCGTCACCCATCGACTATAGTCCCTTCGACCACTGTTACCCACTGTCTATGGTCCGTCTAACCACCGTCATCCAACTATGATCCCTTCGACCATCATCGCCCATCGACTACAATCCCTTCGACAACCATCTCCGTTGAAAATCCCTCTGACCACCATCTCCCGCTGACTACGGTGCCTACTACCACGGTCACTAAACTACAATCCCTCCAATCATCATTGCCCGTCAACTACGATCCCTCTGACCATCATCGCCCACCAACTACAGTCCCTCTGACCACCGTCGCCTACTGACTACATACCTGCTGACCAAACAGACATGTCAACACTCTCTTGAGAACAATCATCATGTCATTCTCCAACTATGTAATGTGATATATAATTATGTGTATTAGCTACATTGAACCAACATCTTCCCCTAAGGAAGAGCATCATTTGTAATCAACCATTAATACTAGTAGATTCATTCAAATTGGGTCAAACCCTATGATTTTTTCCCTTTTTAAGATTTTTCACGTAAAAATTTTTGTGTCTCGTATGAAAACTACATCCTACTCTTTTTATCTTTCTATGTGTTGGATTTTCTTACAAAGATCTCTATGCCGTCATGAATGTTCTTGGACGCAACAATATCTATGCAAAAGAACATGGAAAATGCAAAAAAATAAAAAATAAAAACATGTAAAAAAAACTGACTATTACTTGAACAAAAAATAATTTGACAAACAAAAATATAGAAAGTCATAAATAACAAAGAGAAGAAAACTGTTGCATTTAAATTATTAAGTCATTTGGTGATCTATTTCATAAAAAAAAATGTCATTTTCTTGTAAATTTACACCATTCGTGAAGAAATTATTATGTGCAGGGAGTCCAAATGTGTCCGGATTCCAATCAAAATTGACCACTTAGTCGGTACACAAGATGTATATTATACACATCATGTATACAAATTTGTACATAAGTTGTATGTAGACGGCATGACCTATTTTGATTAGAGTCCAAACACAAGATAAGTTTAAAATTCACATAGAATAATTTCTTATATTTGGGACACCATTAACTTTACATCAAATATCTTATGATCAATCAAACATATGAGAGATAAACTTTTCTTAGTCTAATTTCCTTCGTTTTATTATTATTATTATGTTGAAATGTTGCATTTATAATTTATATCTTTGACCTGTCATCATATAATTGATAAATTATGTGCCTTTAAAGTTAATTTTTTAATTTACTTCAGATAATTCCTAAAAAAAAAATAATTCAGATATTGCATTAAAAACCCTGAGCCAGTACTATTATTTTAAAGAACAAAAAAAACATTTTTTTTAGCCTTTCATATTTTAATATGTAAAAAATTAAATTTGCGTAAATTTACTTGCTAGATTAAACCATAATTTTTTTTAATTAAAAGACCATTTTTCTAAATATAAATATGCAGGCAAAGCCGACATATTTGCCATTATTATACTAACAGTACAGTAAGAGAGATCGATGTACGTGAAAGGCCAATAAAAAAACGATGTTGCGCTCATGTGCCTGTTGGGGTAGCTTTTTCATTTATTTGAATTTATGTTCACATCTATTTGATTGTAATTTTAAAATTGTTTTTGGAAAAGCTTTGTTATGAGACTGCAAAATTTACTATAGTATCATAGCTCTTAAAACTATTCTTGTATAATACTTTAAAAAAATAGAAAAATTGGATGATTAAGATTTTGTTTGGGATGATTTTTTTAATATTTTTTAAAATAATTTTTTAGTACAAAAATTTTTAAATTTTTTATTAAAAAGTTGTTTTAAGACGCACGAAGAAAACCGTTCCAAATAAGTTATTATTTCTTAAAACAAATTTTTAGTACAAAAATTAAAATTCTTGTACTAAAAAACCTCTTTAAGTAGTAAAAAATCGTCCTAAATAAAGCCTAAGATTAATCTCCAAACCCTTAAATAGTTAAATATACTTCAAATTGAATATAAAAAAAAAAAGTCATCTTCAACCATCAGATTCCAATTCATGCATCCGAAATCTCACAAAGATTCATATTCTAAATGCAAAATTTTGAAAATACAAAAAGCTTATCTTTATCTACAACAACAAGTGAAACAGGACAACGTCTACCCCATTTTGGTTCTCGACCTCAGAAAAGGGAGAGCTGATAATCAGCCCACCTCTGTTCCATCTTCACATGAAAATTCGATTCTTTTTCAGATCCCAGAAGTTTTTATCAAACTAATGATCAGTAAAACTGTAAAGAAGAGCAGTTTAGATCTATCCGAGGCTTCTTCTTCAACGCCGGAATCGGCACGTAAGAGTCGCACCTAGGGCACCGGGGATCCGCGGTGGAGATCAGAACGTATAGCAGGCAAGCAGGACACCCAGCCGCAACCATTCCTCCGGTAGTCGGAGCCGGGGACGGAGGAGGTGGCGGCGAATCCTGGACTTCAGACAAATCCGTGTCTTCCGTGGCCCGACGCTTCAAGGAAGAAGAGGTCGTCGAAGACGATGGCGATGCGGAGCTGCCGCAGTCCGATCGCCGTCGGTAACCCCATCTCGATTCTCGCTCGGCTCTCTCCAACGCCGACTTCACCTTCTCAAGCGTGCACACGCTGCGATAGGCGGAAGCTGGCGCGGCACAGCGAGTGGCTGAGATCGCCGAGAGGCTGAGGTCGAGGGAAGATGATTTCTCCGGGACGACGCCGGTGCCGGAAGGGGGTGGCGGTAAGTTAAGGTCATGCAGCTCGCGAAGCACCGGATCTGGGCCGGTCTTCTGGAACAGGAACCATACAAATATTACGAAATTGGGGGAAAAATCAACTTATTTAATTATAGGGGCAAACAGAGTACAACGAGAAATTTTCCCAAAAGAAGAGTACAACGAGAGAATCGATAAAATATTCATGAAGGAATGGCAAATGTAGATCTCGAGGTAAAGAATTTAGGAGCTAGTATACAAGAAAAAATACACAGGGATTCTTTCATGGAAGAATAATCAGAATCTTGGCAGAAAAATTAGAAAAAAGCAATAAACAAAACAATTGAAAAATAGACCCTAATCGCAAGAAAACGAGCAAGCACGCAAGGAAGATCAGAATAAAATTTCATCAGCTGATTCGAAAACAACACGGATTTCCACTATAATTACTCAGATTCAAAAGAAAATATCAAAACTGAAATGAAACATAACTCCTTCAAGTAAGAACAATCAGGGTCTCATTAGAAAAACTCGAGTAATGAAATAAACAAAATCAAAAGAAAACAAGAGTAAAATAGAAGGAACGGAAGCACTGAAGAACAAACAATCTGCAGAAAATTTCGTCGTCTGATTTCAAGAGAAGCACGGATTTCCAGTTCAATTACTCGGATTAGAGAAAAGTTCAGCGAAGAAGAATCTACCACTTGATCAAGGCGCCGATCCCAGCCAACAGCAACCTCGAGCTCCACCCCAAGCTCGCCGCTTCCGGCGAGCCCCTTCCCGCCGCCGAGTAGGTCAATAGTGACAAGATCCCTCTTTCCATCCCCTTCCTCCTTGTACCCGCTGACCCCTCGTACCATCGAGCTCACCTCGGCAGCCATCCCCCGCCTTCCGATGCCGCTAGGGTTAGGGTTTCTAATAGCTCCACGGTCTGTAAGGCCGACGAGAGGCAGAGGAAACAAGGCTGATAAATGGTGAAAAGAACAAGTTAATTTATACCTGGCTAATAAATGATTAATTAATTATGTAATTAATGAGATATTTGTAAAGGAGGAATTAATTAATTAGCATGATTAAAGGTAGTTCATTATTCTTCATTAATTGTCCGAAGACTGATTGGTTTGTGATTAATAGTATACGTTAATACTGAGGTGAGGGAAGAATGCAAGATCATGTGGATTAAGTAAGTAATTAATTAGAGGGCAGTTAATGCTTTATAAAGGCCCTTCTAATTAATGGTGGGGGAGGCCTTAATGAGAGTCCTGTCTGCAGGTATTTATTGTTGGCTTTAACAATTTTAAACTAGCCACATACCTCCTTCAATGCAAGAGTTATATATGAATAAAATTAATCAATAAATAATATTAAATGTTTACTATATTTTAATATTTACTTATTTAGTATCCAATTGGGTAGTGTATTTTTTTTATGAAAGTGGTTCTAAAATTATTATGAGAAAATTATTTTTTTAAGAAAATAATTATGAGTATCATAAATATTTTTTCTTTTTAAAAGTTGCACATTAATATTTTTATAAAAATATGTTATCACTATCAAAATTTCTAAAAAAGATGAAATGTTAATAAATAACTAGTTTCGAGGAGGATTTGGGTTGACACGAAAATCCAAAATTATTTGAAATTGACCCGATTACTTCAAGAGCTCGAATTAAATGGAAAGGCTTAGAGTTAATGGGTCATGTTTGTATTAATTGGGTCATGTTTGGTTAAAAAAAAATTGCATATATTATATAGGATTGTTTGATTGAAAGTGAAGTGGGTGCAAAGCATTCATTTTAAAAGGGTTTTGAAAATATCGGTGTTTAATTGGATGAAAAATAAATGTAATGTAAAGTATAAATGTTAGTTCATTTTTAAGGTAAAATAACTTGCCTAGTTTTTTGTGAAAATTATATTCACCGTAACTAAGCTATCTTGCCACCATCTCCGTCGCCACTGCTAACCGGCTGCCTGACAGCGTCGCAACAAGCCAACAACTAAACACCTCCGCGCCACTGGCTGTTATCGCTGCCCACCACTGTCATCGTCGACCACTACCTCCCTTCCGGCCCTCTTCACTGTCCACTATCATTATAAATTTTAAGTTGCATTCATTTTACTTTAAACCAAATAAAAAAATTCATCCTTTCATTTACACTAATATACAAACAATTTTAAACCTTTCAAATACTCAACATTCTTTTTACACCACATTACTTTTACTTGGCATTTAGTTTTTAGTAAACCAAATACCTCCATAATTAATAGGTTAAGTGGAAGAAGTTCGGGTTAGATTTTTGATCTAGTTGGGTTCTAATTAAATCTTTTGACCCACATAATTGGTACAACGCCAAAAATTGTCTTGATCGGGCACGTATCTTGAGCCGTATTTGAATTGAAAATTTTTAATATTTAATACAAGACTGCATGAACTCCAATTTTAGAAAACTGAACCTCTCAAAGAGAAAAATCCAACACATCAAAATCGGTTACATTTGAGCCCAAATGAGCTCAAATCGAGGGCTAATAACATATTTGGAAACTTCAAAGTATTAATTGGATGACCAAATAATATCCAAATATGACATGCTTATAATAGAATCAAGCAACTCAACGAGATAAATCCAATGAGGCTAAGATCTCGTTATTCTGACATCATTAAGACACTTAAATATTGAATAAACACTCCATACTCAACGAGATGCTGACTACGGTCCCTCCGACCATCATTGCTCGACTACGGTCCCTACGACCATCGTCGTCACCCGACTACAGTCTCTCTAACCTTCGTCGCCTGACTACAATCCCTTCAATCATAGTCACCCGTTGACTATTGTCCCTTTGACCGTTGTCGCCTAACTATAGTCCTACAAACTAAATGAATATGCCAATGTCCTCTTGAGAATAACTCTTATATCACTAGATTCTTTCAACTCCCGCCTGTTATGTGTTTTATATGATTTATATTTGCTATATTGAGCGAATGCCTTCTCCCAAGGAAGGACATCAATTGTAATCGACAACAAGCACTACTAAAACTATTTTAACTGAGTCAGACCCCATGATTTTTCCTCTTCTTAGTGGTTTCAATGTTAAAATTTTTGTTATATCTTACGACTCTTGTACCTCTCTCTCTCTTATCAGTGTGTGTGATGGATCTTCATACAAAATTAGGACGCTAAATCCTATATCTCTCTACCACCGCGAATGTTTTGGCACACAACAGTAATAGATAAATCAACTCTAGGTCAAACATATTCAAGGCATGCCAATTTTAAATTAGATCCAAACCTAACCGTTAACTCAAATTAACGCCCCTTCTAAAAAGCAACAATAAATTAATAGTCAAAGAGAAGTGTGATAGCAATTTGAAAAATAAAATAGTAAGAAAGTTGCCTAAAAAATAAACTTAATATCCAAATTAACAAAAAATATTCAAAATATCATGGCAGGAAATTAGGTTTCTCTTAAACATCTTTAATGATTGTTGATTCAAAGGGAAAATTTTTAAAATGATTAAAGTAAATTTCATTAAAAACAATTAGTTATAGCCGCCTCTTAAAAGGAAACATCTAAGATTGTCATATCATTAATTAGGTATCAAAATGGTAACCTTAGTTGCTCTATCATCATTTTTTTAATTATTAAATATTGAGAAACAATTGTTGAGTTCCTCTCCTTTATAAACATAGTTAAAATTAATGAAGTTATTCACTATCATTTAAATATTAGAGCATATGTTTATTATAGTAAAATCTACAATCATTATTATTAAGTACATATTCTCTTATATTGTATTTATCATGTTATACTCTTTTCTTGCCTTTATAAAAGCATATTTGTATTAGCATTATGACAATCTAAAGATTGAGATGCTCGGCTATCTCAGTGGCTATCTAAAGCTTGATAAGCAGGTTTTTTTGGGCTGTGGACGATAGTGACAACTTGCTATCTTCTTTCTGGACGGTCTACGGGCAACCAAAGAAGAAATGAATATCCGATTTATGAAGCCAGTGTATTTCTGAGTCCCAGTCATACAGTTTTTCTGTCTGATCTATTCCTCTTTCTACGATTCGTGGATCCATCTTGTTGTGCAGATCTGGATCGTCTTTATCACTCTATTTCCTCTGAATCATCTTCATTCGATTCCTTTGGATCGCATTCGTCCCTTAATTTTTTGTTATGCATATTTCATGAATTTGCTAATAACCTGCTTTCTTCCCCAGGCATAGATCATGCTCATTGTTTTATGAGATATCCATGATTCACTGATCCACTCACTATTTTGTACTAGTACTATTTGATTCATTACTTGAAAGGAATTATAATGAGTGCATTTTTCCTTCTTAATTTGATTTCTATTCATCGTTTTTCTTTTCAACTCATTATAATATTATTTTGTTCATCATAATTTATGATATATTTGTTTCATTGTTGGATTCATTTGGGACGATTTTCTCATAGCTTCTTAGAGAAAATTTTTAGTATAAAATTATTTAATTTATAAAATAAAAAGCTGCTTTAAGAAGCAATAAAAAAGCCGTCCCAAACGAAACCGTAATCTCTCAATGTGAAATTGGATGGAAAAATTATTGAAATTGGAGTTTTGCGATGAAAATTTTTTTGGAAGGGAAAGGTATGGATTTCGAATGAACTAAAATGATACGAAGTTTTGAAGGAAAATTCAATATTTTGAAGATCCATACATAACTCAAGATCATAGTGATCGAAAATTCTATTGAGACATCAATAGGCATATAATTGACAAAATACAAAATGACCAAAGATGATTGGGGTCATTTACATGCATATATATATATAAGATATTTCAGCGTTCAAAGTTAATTTCTTTTTTTTTTTTTCATAAGACCCGTTATCATCTAGTTTATATTCTTGGTATTCTCGTTTGGATCATGTGTCACCTTTTTGTTTGAGATATTTAGCTTTTACATAAGCATTAAGAAATTTACAAACTAATAATATTTATGACTGTAGTGGTTACAAGTTAGGAAAGTTTTAAGCGTTATCTATTAAAAAAATATTTTCACCTCTACTACACCATTTGATTTACTTCTTTTTGTTGTATGGGGTCTTTCCCAATAGCCACATAGGTTGGGTTCGGGTCGAACCTAAAACTGACTAGACACAAATTGACCTGACCTCATGAACCCGATCCATTTTTGCAAACGGGTCACTTTTTTGGACGCAAACCTGACACGCATCGGACCCAGGTCAGCCCGACACGACCAGCCAACTCGGGTCTTGGACTTGTCTTCAACCTCTTCTGACGGAGGCAGAGGCGGCAGTGACGGCGGAGGCTGCAGATGGAGGAGGCTGTGATGGCGGACGATGGAGCTTATTCGACGTGGCAACCTCCGACTGATGACATATGAACGACGAACGACATAGCTGATGCAACTTTGCAACCTCCGGCTGAGGAAATATGGACACGGACAACGGACGATAAAGTTGATGCGACACAACAAGCTCCGACTAAGGGCACGCGGACGCGAGACGACGGACTTGAGGCGGACAGGTCAATTTGTGGTTAGCGGGTTAACTTGGACCGTCCCTTTTTTCAAGCGGGTGAATCCTGGAATCTGAACCCGACCAGTTTGTGAAACAGATTGACCCTAACTCAAGATTTTTGGGTTGAGTTTGAGTCGAATTTTCGGGTCATGTCAAATATTGACGGAGGTCAACCTTAGAGTCTAAAGGTTTTCGCTTGAGTAGATCTAAAACGGAATATATGGAGTGTAATTTTAGCAGTAATAGTCCTAGTGAGGGGATTGTGACTTTGGGCGATCAAGTCATTAATAAGAGTACACGTTTTAGGTATCTTGGATCTATTGTTCAGAGTGATGGTGAAATAGATGGGGATATTATCAGTAGAATTCAAGTTGGATGGTTGAAGTGGCGGAATGCATCGGGCTTGTTATGTGATAGAAATGTACCCCTCAAACTTAAGGGA